CTAAATTTAAAAAAAAATATTTTGAAAAAAAAACAAAGAAACACTACAGGTGAATAGCTTTAACAGAAATTTGTTTTCTCAGTTTTGGAGGCTAGATGTTTGAGTTCTCCATCTCTCGGCTCTCGATGAAGGTCTTTGTCTCTCCTGTTTCTGCTTCCTGGTTCCTTGGAGAGCTCCATATGTTTTGGCGTCTCTCTTGCCTTTATCTCTCTGCTGGCTTGTTAATCTTTTTGTCTCTAAAAAGAGGTTTACTCAAGATACTTGTATCATTAATATAACAAAGGCAACCCATTCCCAAATGGGATTGTAACCACAAGCATAGAAGTTGGGATTTACAGCACATATTTCTGGGGGACACAATGCAATCCCCAATAGTTACCAAACTGTTTTTCACAGTTGTACCGTTTGCCTTTGAGCTGTGATGCTGGAGAACAGTATTGAGGGTACCATGGACTGCTAGGAAAACAAACAGATTCATCCTGGAAAGTGTCAAACCGGGCTGCTCCTTGGAGGCAAGGACTCTAAGGCTCCCCCTAACATACTTTGGACATGTTGAAAGGAGGGACAGGTTCTTGGAAAGGGAAATCATGCTTGGTAGGGTAGAGGGACAGCGCAGAAGGGGAAGGCCCCCTTTGAAGTGGATTGATTCAGTGATTGGGGTATCGGGATGGGTGTATTGGAGACAGTGCGATTGGCAGAGGACAGAGCAGTTTGGGGATGTTGTACAGTAGGGTCGCTATGAGTCGCAAGCGACGTTTTGTTGTTTCATTAGCAGTAGATGAGGGTTTCAATTTATCTTTATCTCACCAGCACTTCTTGTTTTCTGGGGTTTGAAAAATTTTTTTCTTTTATTCTAGCTATTCATTTTGACATGAAGTGGTATGTCACTTTGGTTTTGATTTGTCTCACTATCCTATGGATTTCTAAGAGAACAAATAAATATGACTTGGAGAAAGTGCAGCCAGGATGCTCCTTAGAGGGAAGCATGGTGAAATGTCATCTCACATATTTTGATCATTTCACTAAGAGGGGCAAGTCCTCAGAAAAAGACATCATGCTTGGAAAAGTAAAGGGTCAGCAAAGAAAGGGAATACCTTAAAGGAGGTGGACTGACACAGTAATCTTAAAAATGGACTCAAGTATGGCAGAAATGATGAGGATGGCACAGGATAGGGTAGGATTCAGACCTGTCATTCACAGGACATCTGTGAGTCATGGTAGACTCGACAGCCCCTAACAAAGACAATTCAGAACACCTGGTAATACTTGTCTAAAACCTATGCTAGACCGAGAAACAGTTGTGCAGAGAAAGAGAACAGTGTATGGTTTAAAAATCAAGAAAGGTGTGTATCAGAACTGTATCCCAAGCAATAATTCACGAAGCTAGACTTTATGAAGAGTACTGTGCCATCAGGATCAGAAGAAGACTGAGTAACCACCTATGTTATGCAGATATACATAACCTTGCTTACTTAAATGAGGAGGATTTGAAACACTTGCTGCAGAGGATCAAGGACTGCAGCCTTCAATATGGATTACATCTCAACATCAAGAAAAGAAAAATTCTCACCACTGAATCAATTAGCAGCATCATGATAGGTGGAGAAGAAATTGAAGTTGCCAATAATTTTTATTTTTGTCTTGCTTGGATCAACACCCTTGGTACCAGCGGTCAAGAGAGCAGAAGAAAGAAAAAAAATCAGAAGACATTTTGCATTGGGAAAATTTGCTGTTAAAGACCTCTCCAGAGTTTGAAAGAGCAATGATTTTAGTTTAAAGATTAAGGTGTACCGGATTCAAGTCATGGACTTTTCAGTTCCTTGCTTTTCATCTGAAAGTTAGACAGTGAATAAGGATGACAAGAAAAATCAATGCCTTTGAATTGGGGTGTTGGAGAAGATTATCCCAGGCACTTTTAGAGAACAAATGAGTATGTTTTGGAACAGTGTAGCCAGTGTGTGCCGTGGAGATGAGGATGGTGAAACTTCATCTCACATACTTGGAGCATGTGGTTTGAAGAGACCCATCCTTGCAAAAGAAAATCATGCTTGGAAAGGTAAAGTATCACAGAAAGAGAGGAAGACCTCAATGAGGTGGTTTGACACAGTGACTGTAGCCATGGGCTCAAGTACTTCAGAGATGGTGACGATGGCACAGGATAGAACAAAATTCAGATCTATTGTTCATAGAGTCGCTGTGAGTTGTATTTGACTGCATCTGACAGCAGTGAGTGTAGATGTTGAACATATTTTCGTATATTGGTTGGCCACTTGTGTATCTTTGGAAAAATGCCTTCTGAAGTCCTCCCGTAAGTTTGTAATTGGATTGTGTTGTTGACTTGTAAGAGTTCTTTGCATATTCTGGATTCTGAACTCTTATTGCTTATATGATTTACAAGTACTTTCTCTCATTCGTAGATTATCTTTTAACCTTCTTGATATTTTATGTTCTTTGATACCCAAAAGTTTTGTATTTTTGATGCAATCTAGTGTATCTCCTTAGAGTGCTCTGTTTACCTAGGTGTTAAGGAGTTGTGCTGCCAACCCAACGGCATATGGTTTGAATTTTATCAGTTGTTCCTCAGGAAAAAGATGGTCAGTCTCCTTCAGTGCAATTTACTGCCTCTGAAAACCCATTGGAGACTCAGTTATGAATCTATTTTAATGCCACAGAACATAACAATAGGAACAACAGTTCATCTCTTTGTTTTATTGCTTGTGCTTTGGTGTCATTTTTCTTTTTTTAATTCATCACCAAATTCAAGATCATGACGATTTAATCTGTTCTTTTATAATAGTTTTAGCTGTTATATTTTTAACATCTTTGATCAATTTTGAGTTATGTTTTACATATGATTTTTAGATGGGGCATCCAGTGTAATATTTCCTGTGACTATGTACACTTCTTTAAAAATAGGATTTTTATTTTGGTAACATTTTGAAGTTACAGGAGATTTACAGAGATAATCTAGATTTCTTTTATGTCTCTGTTGCTTAGTTTTTCTTAATCATACTTTTACATAATCAGGGTTATTAGTCAAGTTAAGAAATTAACCTTGGTAGAGGACTATAGACTTAATTCAGATTTCAGTAGGTTTTGTCACTGATGCCCTTTTACTTTCCTAAATTCCAGTCCTTGATTCCACATAGTATTTATGGCATATACTCAAGATTTTTGGAAGGAGAAATGGCATCCACTTCCTAAACAACATGCCTTTGGAAACTGTGATAAACTTTGATAAATGACAGTAGTTATAGAAAGGCTTCAGGCCTTTTGTTCATGGGGTTACTGTGAGTCATACTTGACTCGATGGCAATCAACAACGACGACAACTCTAGATTTAATGCTAACTCAGTATGTCTGAATTTCCTTAGATTAGTATCAGGAGTTCTTTGTGAAAATAATATTCAGCTCTCCTTTGCACTTTTCCTGATGCCTGATCTGTTATAAAATCTGCAATTGCCCCAGTGGAGAAAAAGTGGATTGTCATCGGGGAGAGAGAACACTCACAGTTGCTAAAAGACTGGGTGGCATCATGTGGAGAAGATGTTAAAGTGATAAAAATTATAACTCATGATTAGCCAGCTAATTCACTATGTCTTATTACTTTCCATGTAGGTTCAGTGTACAAAACCCGAGTGTGGAAAATGGCGGCAGCTTACAAAGGAAATCCAACTTACTCCGCAGATAGCAAAGACTTACCGATGTGGTATGAAACCCAATACTGCTGTTAAGGTATGATCTCTGTTGATTTTTCTTTAAGAACTAACTCATGCATTAGTTTACTAAATAAAAATGGTATATATATGTTTATTTGCCTTTGTCTCAAGATTATATTGGTCCATTTCTAATGGAACTCCAACTATGATGACTTAACTAAGGATATTCTGGCATTATAAGTAGTTTGGAGATAGCTATGTATATAGTCCCTATTTGATCATTTTGTCAAAAAAAATTAAAAAAAGACATTAAAGACCAGGTCTCCCTCTGGCTTCTCACACAGCCACCTTAGTGAACCTTTCACCCTCAGGGCTGCAAGTATGGCTGCTACACTGGTATTACATCCTAATTCTAGGTAGAAAGCAAAGGAAGAGTTGGAGGGAGCTAGGTTACAGCTGAGTCTGTCCCTTTTTTACTGGGGAGACAGATGATTTCCTGGAAGTTCCAATAATATATTTCTATTTCTATTTCATTGGACAGAATAGAATCATAAAACCACTCACAGCTTTAGTGGGGACAAAGGAAGTTTTTTATAGTGAAGTATGCTATGTTGTTGTTGTTGTTAATTGCCGTCGAATTGAGCACAACTCATAGTGACCCTCTGAATAAAAGGTCTGAAGCCTTTCTATAACTATTGGCATTTATCAAAGTTCATAGAGCTTCCAAAGTCATGCTGTTTAGGAAGTGGATGCCACTCCTGAAGGTTAAAAACTGTAGCTTAGAGTGCTCATTCTAGCAATACCAAACCTGTATTGCATGGTAATGTTTTTAATAGTTATAAAATAACATCTTTTTTTTTTTTTTTTAGTGAAATGGCATAATGTAAAAAGAAAATTTTCAGTGTTTATGTCATTGAATTTTAACAAATGTGTATTCTGGTGTGAAAAAGAGTGCAAATGATATGTGTGCAGCTGAGTCTTATTTAGTGCCATCTTGTAATCTTAATTCACGTTTCCCTGATAACGTACTCCTGTTTAGAGAATATCTGTCCAAGTCTCTTTTTTAAAAAAAGTATAATCTCACTATTCATTTGACACTTTGGGCGTATTGCTAGGAGAACTTATTCCTTGGAGTATGACACATACTTGGAAAGGTGGAAGGACAACAAAGGAAAGGAAGACCTCCCAACGAGGTGGATTGATAACAGTGACTGGAGCAGGGGGCTTGAGTGTGTCAGGGATTGTGAGGTTGGCACAGAATTAGACAGAGTTCAGATCTGTTGTCATAAGGTCTCTATGAGTCTTACTCAGTGGCACCTAATGGCAGCAACATTGATTTGTAGGAATACCTTATGTCATCTGTATGTAACAAAGGTATTTTGAATATTTTCTTTCTCCAGTCCTCTCTTAATTTTGATAATATATTTTCAGTTGACAGGAGTTTTGCATTTTAGTGCTCAGTATATCAGATTTTCTTGTTTTATGATTAGAACTTTTTATACCTTGTTTAAGAAATCATGGACTGCCTCCCAACATGTATACCTATTTGTATTATCTTTGAGGAACTTTAGAGTTGTATCTTTACATTTAGGTTACGGATTTATCACCAGTAAATTTTTGTTTCTGGTGGAAAGTGTAGGCCAAAATGTCACTCTCTGAAATATAAATATTTACTCATTTAGCATTATTTTTTTGGGAAAAACCCTCTTTTTTCCCCATTAAATTATTTTGGTACTATCGTGAAAAATCAGTTTACTGTATATTTGGGTCTGTTTCTGAATTTTGTTCAGTGGTTGTCTTGTTTATTCTATCCTACCCACTACTATATTGCCTTTTGTTTTTGAATACTGTATTTCTGGTTAAAACTCACACACCGTTTTCATTTGAAAATTGGTACAAAAATTATTTGGCTCTGGTGGCCTCCAGTGTGGAGGCTCCTGTGTGAAGCAGTTGGATTCTGGAGGGTAGCTTCTCTTGTTTTTGTTCACAAATGTGTATGAGCTAATTGGTCTTCTGGATTTACTGGATTTAGCTAACAATTAGCTGTGAGCTGGAAGCCTCTTGTGTAAGTCAATCAGGACCTTGTGGGTGGGCATTTGTGTTTTAAAGTAATTGGGCCTGTGGGCCTGATATTAATTGTGTTTGGGAAGAACGTTTTTCTTAGTGGTGCCCAGTTTGCTGTACTGAGGTAATGGAGTTGCTGTGATACTGAGTGCTGTGCCACTGGTGTGTCAAATGCCATAATGGTTTACCATCATAGACAGTATTTGGTGGAGCTCCCAGATTAAGATAGGCTTGGAAGCAGGATTGGCATCCATTTCTAAGACAACATGCCTTTGGAAATTCTATGAACTTTAGAGAAATGATGATAGCAAACTATGTCAGCAGGAACTAAATTTTAGGACTTTTTTGCACAACTTATTTGTGTGCTACGTTTTAGTTCTAAATGACTTTTTAAAATTACATTTTTCATGGTTTTATAATGCTATTAATATTATTGCATAATGACTTCATAATAAAATAATTTTGTTCTGTATTTTGACTGACTTTGGTTTATTCATAATCTTTCCTCTTGTTCATGTTCTGATAATTGAATGTTGAACCTTGATTTCATCTCTGACAATAGTTCAGATTATCCACATTCGTTTTTCTGTTTTTGTTTTGTTTTTCCCCATTATTTTCAAGATCACCACAGAGCTCTGGTGGCCTAGTAGCAAGAAGCTGCACTGCAGTCCCAAAGGCATGTGGTTTGAGGCCACCAGCTGCTCCATGGGAAATGATGGGCAGTCTCCTTCCGTGTGATAAACTGCCTTTGAAAACCTGCTGGAGGGTGAGCTATGGGTCAGTTCCAAATCAATGATATCCAACAACAGCAACAACCATTTTCATGCAGTTTTGGAAACCTCTAAGGTTTTAACAGTGACCTAGTTCTTGCTGGGCCACATCAAAAATTGTGTTCCTCATTGAAAGCAATAGCAAGGAGAGCGAAAATCAGAAAACAGTGTTGTAGTCTTCACCAGATTATTGTCCTTAAGTGAGATTCACCCAAGGAGAGTCCTGCCTGTATACAAGGCAGAAAGCTTGATTGACAAATCACTTACCCTAAAGAGCAGAGGCTACCTTTATAGAAAATTATTGTTGTAGCATAGTCTGCAGTGTCTTAATCTACTAACTTAAAGGTTAATGGTTTGAAACCACCAGCTGCTCCATGTGAGAAGAGTGGGTAGTCTCTTTTCATAAAGATTTACAGCTTCAGAAACCAGTGGAGGGAGGATCACTATGAATTGGAACCAGCCTGACAACAGTGGGCTTGGCTTTCGAGTTTAAATAGAATAGGAATTGAAAATAAAAAGACAAAATGACTAAAATTGCTGAATGTTGGAAGACTGTTTCCTCTTCTCAAGAAATAGAAGTTCCTGAGAAGACATAAAAAGATCAAAGTAAGTGTGGTGTGTGTGTGGGAGTGTTAGAATGCTAAGAAGTTGGAATCATTGTGACTTTTAAAAAATGTTTCTCTTTCAGTCTTTTTATATAATGGACTCCATTATAAAAGAGGGAAAAGTAAATGCAACCTCTGCCTAGTTCCTTTAACTGCGTTTTTTGTTAGTGTTGGATTTTTTTTTTTTTGCTTTTTGTTTCATCTACTTTTTTTGAGGTGCTATCATTTATTCTCAGTAACCACATTTCCTTAGTTTATGCCTGCTTTTTTTACGTGCATGGATCTCCTGGTCTCCACAGTAGCTGTGGTAGTTCAGTGGCTAATCATTCAACTGCTGAAGGAAGAGCGGGGACTTACAGCCCACTTGTGTCTCTGTGGGAAAAATACCTGATGATAGTACCAGATAATGGCCTTAGAATCCCTGTAAGATTGTTCATTGTTGTGTGGTTACCATCAGTTGAAATTAAGTTGATGGCACCTAACAGTAACAACAGGTCCTTCCAAAGTTGTTTTTTGTGGTCCATTACTTGACTAACAAGTGCTTTCCCCTGGAATGTTCAGAGTAGATCAGATTGCTTAGGTGGTGGTAGTGGTAATGTGTCATTGTGTCTGAACTGATAGCTGGCCTTCCAGCAGGTTTTCAGAGGCAGTAAATGTAGTGGAGGAGAGTACAGCTGGTGGATTCAAACTGTGTGCCTATGTGTGTCTTAGAAAACGTCATTGCTTCTCTGAAGAGTTGAAGCCTTTTTGTGTTCTGGACTTCTAAAGATGGCATAATTTAAAAACAAAAAAGCCTCAAAATCATTACTTTCATGTTGGAACTGACTCTTGGCTGAGCTGTTATTGGGTTTCTGAGGCTGTAAATGTCACAGGAGGAGATGCTCCATCTTTCCCCCTCAGAGGCACAGGTGGGTCTAAACCACCAGAGAGGCGTGACCTCTGGGTTAAGGCCACAATTACTTGAAGACTATACCACGCAAGCGCCCTTAAAGATAGTATCACATCCCTCATGTGCCGTTTTCCTCCTACAAGAAAATTCTCCTCTGAAACCCTTTCATCCTGTATGTAAAACAGCATTAAAAACAATGTACATTGTATCTATCACAAATGGCGCAAACCACTTCCTATTTTGGAGCTTGGTTATTACCATTTCATATAACTTAAAGATACCTCCGTATTTTTTGTTGTTGTTGTTAATGTGCCGTCAAGTTGCTTGTGACTCGTAGTGACACTAGATACAGCAGCCCTAAGCCCTGCTCTAGCCTGTGCCAATCTTACTGTCTCTGACACACCTACCCCCATTACCCCAGTCACTGAATCAATCCATCTCATTGAGGGTCTTCCTCTCCTGTGCTGTCCCTCCACCCTCCCAAGCATGACATCCCTCTCCAAGGACAGGTAACTCCTTGCAACATGTCCAAAGTATGTCAGATGAAGCCTCAGAATCCTTGCCTCCAAGGGACAGCGTGATCTCGTCCTCTCTAGGATGAACCTGTTTGTTCTCTTACCAGTCCATTGTATACTCAGTACTCTTCAGCACCACAGCTCAAAGGCATCAGTTCTCTTTCTGTCATCCCTAGTCATTGTCCAGCTCTCTGATGCATAGCAAGTAATTACAAAGACTATGGCCTGGATCAGGCACTCCTTAGTCTCCAGACTGACATTGTTGCTCTTCAGTACTTTGGAGCGGCCTATGACAGCAGACTTTCTCAATGCAATTAATCTTTTAATTTCCTGGTTGCTGGTACCAAGAGTGTTGATTGTGAAGCCAACTAAAACTGTTAACAATCTCACTCTCCTCACCAGCTATCATGATGCTCCCAATTTGCCCAGTAGTGAGAATCTTTGTTTTCTTGATGTTGAGCTTCAATCCATATTGAAGGATGCGGTCCTTGACCCTCTGCAGAAACCGCTTCAGGTCCTCCTCAGTTTCAGCAAGCAAGGTTGTGTCATCTGCATAACACAGATTGTTGATGAGTCTTCCTCTAATCCTGATGCCACATTTCTCCTCATAGAGTCCAGCCTCCCAGATAATCTGTTCTGCATATAGATTGGAAAAAGTATGGCAGTAGGACAAATCCCTGGCATACACCCTTCCCAATTTTGAACCATGCAATGTTTCCTTGCTCTTTTCTAGTGACTGCCTCCTGGTCCAAGTATTGGTTTTGCATAAGCATTGATCAAGTGTTCTGAGATTCCCATTCTTCTCAGAGTCAGCCACAGTTTAAATAAAAATCAGACCTGTTGCCATCAGGTTGATGGACCTATAGGAGAGAGTAGAATTGCCTCAATTGGATATCCAAGGCAGTTAATATTTACAGGAGCAGACTGCCACATCTTGTCCCCTTGGAGCAGCTGGTAGATTCAAACCACTGACCTTTTAGTTCAATCTAATGCTTTAATCACTATGCCACTGGAACATTCTTTGTTATCTTTTATGCTCTGGTGGCCTAGTGGTAAGGAGCTGCACTGTTAATCAGTATACAGTTTGAATCCACTAGCAGACCTGCAAGAGAAAGAAGGACAATCTCCTCCCATGCAGTTAACTTTCTCTGAACCCATTGGAGTGTCAGCTGTGAGTCGCTTCTGCTGTAACAGCAATGTGAAAGATAAAGAATAAACATAAATAAAAGCCTCTCCTTTTTCTGCTTCACCGTTCTGAAATCATCTGCCCAGCCAGCACTCCCCCTTTGATCTTACCTGTATAGTTAGAGATCAAAAGTTAAGGACCACGCCCCATCTTCCAGACTACCAAATAGAAGACTTCAGATGCTAGATTTGGAAGGGCTCCCCTTATTTCTTCTGGATACAAATCCAGGGGTTTCCTCTACCCACTTAGGATATCAGCTATATATTCAGGAGTTCTGATCTCCACCTACTTGTGACCTGCTACCTCTGACCACTATTGAGTTCATTAGTTTGATGGAACAACTCACAGAACCCATGAAAGGTGCTTTTCTTGTGATTTCTCTCATTGCCAGGAGCCAGTACTTTAGCTGACCGTCCTTTGGGTTTTGAAAGCTGTAAATCTCATGGAAAGAGATTGCCCTCTTTCTCCCTTATAGATGCTGATAGAACAGCTAGAGATCTGTGTGTGGCCTTTGAACTAGCAGCAAAACTCCCTATGGTTTATTCTACAAGAATGCAAAGAGCATGTATAGTGGGATCTCGAAGCAACCGCATTGTGAAACTTCTTTCTAAAAAAAAAGGCATGTGTGTGGGAGTGCACGTTTTTACAGGAACAGTTCATTGGCATTGTTTATATTCATTGTGTTGGGCAACCATCAACACTCTGTGTTTCCATATTATTTTACCACCATTCACAGAAGCCCAGACTTCTCCAGCCTCTTTTCTACATTAGGTTTGTGAGCTGCATCTGTGTTGAAGTGTGAAGATGTCCTTCTAGGTCCTTGCTGTAAGGTCTATCTCTTTGGAATATAATGTAAATTATCCTTCTTAGGTTGCCTTTTGCTTTTTTCCTTTTACAAACAGTACTTATCTAATAATCTCTTAATATTTCTGACACTACATAGGTTTAGGAGTTTTTCTAGAAAATACAACAACAATAGAACTGCTGGACGTATAATGTGTTCTATTTCATATAATATGTTCTCAACACATCATCTTTCGGTCAGAATTGACTCAGCTGACCCTGAAGAAAATTTCCGAGACAACATTGCACAGGAGGAGATTGCCTGTTTTCCTCCCACATAGCTGCTGGGGGATTCAAACCTGTAGGCAGGTGTGGCCATTGTGTTAGCAGCTCCACTCTGTAGGGACCACATCATCAGAGCTCCCTTCATTTCAGTATTTCGCTCTCATTGCTGTTAAACTCATTGGGAACCAACGCATAGCTGAGCCTCTAGCATATTTTATAGGCTATAAATCACATGAGATGTGAGTGCCCATCTTACTCCCTTATAGAATCTGATGGATTTGAACTGCCTGTTTTGGGGTAGGCAGCACGACTCTTTTCCCACTAGGCCAGGAGCCTCACTGTTTCAGTGTAGTGTGCCAAATTATTTTCTAAATGGATTGCACCCAAAACTTACTTCCTTCTATTCTGATCCTGTAGGATGGAGTAGAACTGCCCTGTAGCATTCCAGGGCTGTAAATCTTTACAGAAGCACACTGCCACATTTTTTGGTCGGCTTGAACTGCCAACCTTTCAGTTAACACCTAGATACTTAACCCTCGTACTACCAGTGCTCCTGTGATTGCACATACTTCATTTGTAGTATTCATGCTCTGTTAAATTGCTCCCTGTAGTGATGATTCACCTTTGTCTTTCTTCCAGGAAACATGTAGGGGATCTGTGGGCCTACACTTTCACTCTTTTATTGTTTTACTAAACACTTTTTGTCAATCTTGTTGTTGTTAAGTGCCGTCGAGTCGCAGGCATAGCGACCTATGAAGGAGAGTCCTCGACGCTTGGGTGCCTTTCATCCTCTCTCCAGGTTCATAAGGTTTCCGGAGACAAGCTATTATGGAAGTGGATGCCACTCCTCCTTCCAAGCTTGTTTTAATTGGGGAGCTTCACCCTACTCTCTGTCCGCATTGGGTAGCCAACCATTAACACATTTGACACATTGGTCTCACAGTGTTCAGCCTCACAGCAACCATAAGTGACCGTGGTACGGCAACTTGTACACCAGGGCTATACGACCTAGAGGAATGTCTGTCAATCTACTTGATGGAAAAAGCTTATTTATTGAAGGTAAAATGACAGTTGAGACTGTTTTGTAAAGAAACCTGATATATCCTGGACTAATGACTTTTTTTGTACAATTTGGTTTTTTCTTGCAGACCGAGACCTCAGATCATTGTACCCTCCCAGAAGATCTAGTGAGTATTTCTGCACGTTTTAGGCTGGAGTCTACTGGACCTTAGTTGAAAAGAATTACAAGTAAATGACAATGACAGTTGAATGAGGTTCTTCTGATTATTGATTATTGATCAAGGATTTAATTAAGCATGATCAATGTATTGTGAAAATACTAGCGTTAGTAGTGTGATGGGTCATTTTCTCTTCTGCTTAAAAAAAGGGGGTTGTTTTGCTTCATGTTAAAAGGAAGTGAGGACTGCCTCCGGTCTGTAGGGATCAGCGGTGATGTACTTGTTTGTCAGGGTTGGGTATCCAGCTTTAACTCTGCTTGAGTCCTCACAAGAACAGAAGGGCCGTAGGTTGGTAGTGTTAGGGAAAAAAAATCAATCAACTATAGGGGTGTTTTGATTTCAAAATAGGTACTTTGTCCTTTTCTTGCCCAGGCATGAAAAGGGAAGTTTTGTGATGTTTTTCTTTGTCTTCAGGTAACTTTTATTACCTGAGTTGGAAACTCATGTGCCATACAAACTATGTCTGGTGACTTATTAAAACATAACAAACCCATTGCCTGTAAGTTGGAACTCTAGGTCCAGGCTGATCTTCAGCGGTTTCTCTGAGGCTGGAAGTTGCATGGGTGAAGATTGCCCGTCTTTTTCCTGTCGAGCCAGTGGTGGATTCGAACTGTCAGGGAAGAGTGGCCTTTGGTTTACCAGCACAGTTGTAGTGGCCCTACTCAGTCTAAGTGATTTCAGTATTGATAATTTGCAACTTATGGACTGAAGTTGTCAGCCAGTGGGAAAATTGATATCTGACAAATCTACTGGACTTTAGCCAACCAAAATGCGCTTCCAGGATAGGTTTACCTTCTGGATCATGAGTTCATATACTAGTTTTGCTTCATATGTAAGCTGGCAGTGTGGTAAATAGTAAAATGATTGGTGACATTTGGTTGGAGCCTGGAAGATTAGCAACATCACAGGACTCCTGAGCTTGAGATCCCCTTATTTCAGGGTCTTAGACTTCCTGGAACATGCATTCCAAATTGACTTTAGAAAAGACCATATAAAATATGATTTGTAGTGGAAGACAAATACATTTTCATTTTATTGTAGTAGTTCATTATCAGCTGATGCTTATGTTAAATCACCTCTGGTGTGTTGTCACTTTCAAGACCCACAAGTGTTTCAGGTCTACATTTACCATCTTATTTTGGTGATCGTGGTCTACATTTCCCTCTGAAAGTTTCCTAGTTCCAGTTGTCAAAACGAGAAGCCCTGGTAGTACAGTAGTTAAGTGATTGGCTGCTAACCGAAAGGTTAGCTGTTTGAAAGCATCACCAATATCGTGTCTGCTGGAAAAAGCTGTAGTAGTCAGTCTGCTGCTGTTTGTTGCGTGTCATCAGTCCAATCAGAACCAACTCATAGCTGACCCTCCACTGGGCTTTAAGAGGCTTTAAATTGCATAGGAGGAGACTGCCCATCTTTCTCCCCCAGAGCAGATGGTGGATTCAAACCAGGTGTCTATGGTTTGTCAGGACAACTTTTACCAGTTACAGCCTTGGAAATCTGTTTTAATCAGTCCTGTGAGATTGTTGTGAATTAGAATCAATTTGACAACTTAGTTTGGTTTGGTGTTTGATTTATCCAAAGGCAAAATCTATTTTTTTTCTTTTCTTCCAAAGAGAATCATTGTTTATGCCTGTGTTTCCCATTTCACCTCTTCTTATGCCCTTAGTAAAGGGGAATGGATGGGCAAAGATTACCAGGTGGAAAGACATTTATTGTATCAGACTTTAAGCTGATAATGTAGTGAACTGAATGGCAGCTTTCGGGCTTATCCGAGGAGATCTGGTAACATAGTTGATAATTTGTTGTGCTGCTAACCAAAACTTCAACAGTTCGAATCATCAGCTGCTCTACTGGAGAACGTCTCATGTTAAGATTTACACTCTTGGAAACCTGATGGAAGGTCACCATGATTCACAGTCAGTTCAACAGCAGTGGGTTTGTTATGTTTTAGGACTTAGCTGGTGTTGAAGAAGTGTTTTCCTTGCAGGTGGAAGTGGGCTCTTGTTTAATTTGAAAGAACTGTGCCCGGGAAACATTTCTTCAAGGTAGCCTAAGCCATTTTGGTTTCTGAATCACTGGCAAGACTCTAAGTCCGAGTGGGGAGATTCAGAATAGGTGGGTTTAAAGATAAGTTAAATGAGGGCCTGTTCCTTGGCTGCCCAGGGCTTACGTTTCCCCTGCCCTCTGTCCCTCTTCCTCCTCCGTGGTCCATTGCAGAGAGTTTCAGAAGTTGCTAACCACTGGTGGTACTCCATGCTCATCCTACCTCCTTTGCTGAAAGACAGCGTGGCAGCGCCCCTGCTCTCTGCCTACTACCCCGACTGCGTGGGCATGAGCCCCTCGTGCTCCAGCACGCAGCGCGTGACCAGTCCTGGGAAGCTGGAGCAGTCCAAGGCCACGCCTCCCGTGCTCGGTAAGAGCGGTCCCCACACTCCCTATTGTTGGTGTTGCTGTAGCTATGAAGTCAGCTCTGACCTCCTTTGTGCAAGGTCTTCTCCTCCTCTGTAGAATTTTCAAGGTTGTGAGCTCTCAGAAGCAGCTCACCAGCACATACTTGCAGCCTCTGGATGGGTTCTAGCCACTAAACTTCACACCCTCACTCAACATTTTCCCTTTTGTACCATGAAGGAATCCTTTCCCTCCTGTGTTATAGGAAATGTTTGAGCAGGCAAAATAGAATGATTTTCTTGTGATACAAAGCACTTCATGGCAGAGATTGATTTATACGGTAGATAAAATTGTTTGTATGTGTTGTGCCGTCGAGTCAGAACTGACCCATGGCATTCGCTCCATTTGGCATACAGAGGCTCTCAATCTGGGATTACAGCCCAGCTTCTTACCTCTAGGCTACCAGATGGTACTTATGTACCATCAAGTTGTAACTGACCCATAGCTCACTCTCCAGAGGGTGCGGAGAGACAGTTTAATCACACAGGAGGAGATTGTCCATCTTTCTCTCATGGAACAGCTGGTGAATTTGAACTGTGTGCCTTCAGGATTGCAGTACAATTCCTTATCCCTAAGGCCACCAGATAGTATGTAGTAATTTTTTTTTTCCTTGATCTGAAAGCCTGTCATGCTTGTCTTTAAACCAAGCCCATGGGTGTTTAATGCATTTTTATTTGAAGGCTACATAGCTGTGTAATTTCTTTTTTGCTTCCCGCTTCCTCCTTTCTTATTCCTGTGAATTCTCCAAAATTGATTCTGTGTATGAACTTTTCCTTAGCTTTTCATATTAGTGATGTTTACACCATAACTGTCCTTTGTAAATGACTTAGTCAATTATGTCAATCACATAGCTGCATTCTTTAATAAAATGAAACTTGGACTTAGCAGAAGAAATATTAACAGCCCTTTTTTTGTCTCTAAATTCTTCTGTTTATGTTATTGGTGACCCCAGTAAAAGATCCACTCTCCCCCTCCACCAAAAAAAAAGGCCAAGGTTTTTGTTTTTGTTTTTTTTATTATTCAGGGCAGGTATGCTATTAACTATTTGCTGTGAAACTTAAAAAGAAAAACAATTGCTGCTGTTGGTTCAGTTCTGACTCATAGTGACCCTCTATCGGGTGTCTAAGTCTGTAAATCTCAATAGGAGGAGACTGCCCATCTTTCTCCCAAGGAGCCACTCGTGGATTTTGGACAGCTGGAGATGCATGGCTTTTAGGATGCACATGAGAATTCTAGACGTAGCAGTGAAAATCCTAAAGCCTGCAAACCAGCAAGCTGTGTTGTGGAGGGTGTGGGGGGAATTTTACTTTGAAGAATTTACAGATAGCATTTGTCCCTCTTATTATGTAGATATGGTAGTCATTAAAGGATACAATAAAATTATTACTCTCAATGTTAATGAAGGTATAAAAAAAACAGACTCAAAGATATTTGGGCACTTAACCTCAAAAGCCTAGACATTAATAAACTGTGACCTAGCAGTGTCACTGCTAGAAATTTGTCTTAAATAAATTATCCGAATGTGCAGAGAAATTCATTCTGGATTTGTTTATGATAGTGAAAAAAATTTAGTCAAAGTGAACTATTTAGCAGTCACGGAATTGTTAAAAAGCAACAAAAAATATTATGTGCATCTCTCTCCATTTTACTTTTGGCGAGTGACCCATCTTGTTCTCTGGGATGTATTTTCACCTTTAAAAAAATTACATTGTTACCCTTCAACAAGATTGATTGACATGGTGAATGATGGGATCAGGTATGTCGGAGATGGGGAGGATGGCACAGGATAGGGCAAGGTGCAGAACTGCTGCTGTTCATCACGTCGCTCTGGGTCGTACTTGATTCGATGGCGCAAAACAGCAACAACATGTGGCCCTTTAAGTTCTTGGGTGGCCGACACCAATAAGTGCTCAACTACATATTGCCGCACACTTTTAAAATTGACGGCCATGCTTAGAGACACATTTGCCGTCATTTGTGGCAACGTGTTAATGAAAAGTTGATGGTCCAAACCCCTCCAGAGTTAGCTTTGACAGAAGGCCTGACAGTCTGCTCCTGAGCAGCAACCACAGGCGTGGAAGCTCTACAGAGAGTACTTCTAAAGCCAAGAAGAAGCAAACCCACTACCTTTGAGTTAGTTCCAACTCATGGTGACCTTCCACTGGGTTTCCAAGGCTGCAGATCTTAACTAGGAAAGACTGCCCTGTCATTCTCTCACAGGCAGCTGGTGGATCCAAACCACTGGCCTTTTGGTTAGCAGTCCAACATGTATCTCATTTTGCCACCAAGACTCCTACTCGGCACATATATATTGTGTTACCAAGAGTCAATATCAACTCAACATCAACTAGCATTGGTACTTTTCAAGTCATTCAGTGATGGAAAAGTGTTCGTAGTGCAGTTAATTTTAAAAAGCAGCCTAGAAAACAAGCTTTATAATTTTTTTTTCAAGTTTTAATAATTAAGCTCATGGTAATAGTATATATTTTTAGGGACAATACTAAGGATAGATTATACTTCTAAATGTTGTCCTGGGGATAGTCAGTGTTTAGTTTTATTTACCTTTGTGAACTTGTTAATTTTCTCGTTTTTTAAAATGCTAATAAAACACACTTTTAAAATATATTTTCCTATACTTACAAAAAAAAAAAAAAAAGAAAAAGAAAAAAATATATTTTCCTACCCTTGGACTGCCAAAAGAACAAAGAGAGATGTCTTGTTGAAAGTGCATCCCGTGTGCTTCTTAGAGGCAAGGATGGTGAAGCTTGTTGTTAGGAGAGGCTGGTCCATGGAGAGGGACATCGTGCTTAGAAAGGTAGAGGGTGAGCGAAAGAGAGGAAGCCCCTCAGCAAGATGGATTGACACGTGGCTGCAGCAGTGGGATCAAGTTATAGCAGAGATGATGAGGACGGGACAGGTTAAGCTAGATTTCAGATCTGTCATAGGGTCATCTTGAGTTGTACTCGACAGTACTTACCACCGCCACCTACCCATAGAAATGCAAACTGTGTGACGAAATGATGGGAAAATACTTGCTTAATTAATTTCTTTTTTTGTCTTAGTGGCCAGAAGAAAACATAGTAATGTAAGACTGTTGCCCTTACCTTAGCTGGGTTGGTATTTTTTTGTTTTTGTTTTTTTTTTCATTTGGTTGTACTCTTAATGCACCTGGATTTGGACATTACCTTTTCACGTCTTGTTTGTTCCAGGCATGAACCGGTACTTCCAACCTTTCTACCAGCCCAACGAGTGTGGCAAAGCCCTGTGCGTGCGGCCAGACGTGATGGAGCTGGATGAGCTCTATGAGTTCCCAGAGTACTCCCGAGACCCCACTATGTACTTGGCTTTGAGAAACCTCATCCTCGCATTGTGGTATACCCACTGCAAAGTAAGTGAAGGGCATTGTCACTAATGGTATGTGTTTTCTTATTGTAATAAAGTAGTAGTTATCATCAAGTCCATTTTGACTCGCTTTAACTCCATATATGGCAGCATGAAGCACTGCCTAGTCCCGAGCCTTCTGCACAATCACTGGTACATTCTGGGCCATTCTTGGGCCCATTTTGGCTTTTAGTACCATTTAATCTAGAGGATTCATCTCCCAGCACCAGAATGTTGTTCTCCATGGCTAATTTTTCAGGTGTAGATCACCAAGTTTTTCTTGGTCTTGGTCTGTAAACTCCACTGAAACCCATCTACCATGAATGACTCTGCTGATGTTGAAAAACCAGTGGCACAGCCTCCAGTCTCCGGGTGCATGCATACCAGCCACCACAGTATGACAGGCTGCTGCTGGTGGTAAAATACCCAGAACTGAAGTTTGGCATTTTAGCCGTATTCACAGTGTCAAATCCATGATACTGTGCGACCAGCACAACTGTTTGTTTCTCATACTTTTGTCATCATTGCTTGATGGGAACTTCATACTGATTATGCAGTGAGTTCCTTATTCTCCCATCCTCCAGGCCATTAGTGGTTAGCACTAGTCAACTTCCTGTCATTAGGCCTTTCCCTATTCGAGATTTATCATATGAGTGGGTCATGCAACAACACATCCTCTTGAGTCTTTATTTCACACAGTAGTGTGTGTTCAAGGGTTAGGCAGTGCTCTTTAGACTGGAGTTTCTTACCGTCAGTGCTATTGGCAACTGGGGCCAGATAATTCTTTGTTTCAGAGCATTGTAGAGTGTTCCCCAGGTACCCCACCTTAGCCTTCTAGATGCCAGTAACAAACACCTTCCCATATGTAACAGCCAGACATTACCCAGTGAGTAAAATTGCCATGTGCTGAGAAGCTGAGAGCTACTGGGCTCTGAACACTTGCTTCCCTAGTGAGCCACTGTGGAGTGCAGAGTTTGGCCCAAAGAGTTGTGGTGACAATGCCCAAAGTAAGACTGAGTTATAAACCTGCTGAGAGCAGAGATTGTGTCTTATTCATCTCAGTATCTTCAAACTGTCAGGACCCATGCTTTTCCTTGTGCTGGGGCTGAATAGATACCTAGGGTACTACATAGCACCACCTTGAAAGACATAGAAATAAAATTGGTGTTGGTTGTTGCTATGTGCCGTTGAATCTGAACTGACTCATAACTGACCCTCCAGTGGATTTTCAGAGACTGTACATAGTTTGGGCATGTTGGTAGGAAGGGCGAGCCCTTGGAAAAAGACTTGGAGAAGTGGAGAGTCAGTGTGAAAGAGGAAGACCAGCAACAAATGGATTGACACGGTGACACAGTGACTGTGGACTGTAACGGTGGACTCCAGTATATTAGAGTTGATGGGTATGGCGAAGGATAGGGTTCAGATCTGTTGTTCATAGGGTCTCTGAATCGTAGTCAACTCTGTGGTAAACCTAACACTAACAGCAAATGGTATGAGAGGAGATTGCTCATCTTTCACCGTCAGAGCAACTGGGGGATTTGAACTGTCGGCCTTTGTGTTGGCAGCACAACTCCATACCCACCAGATCACTAGATTGGTGGTTGAGGTAAAAAATACCAGTTTTAGATGTTTAGGGTGGTGGGGTGCTTTAAAATGTTTCCATTTTATGCATTTCCTCAGCAATTATTTGAGTGCTTGTTGAATGCAAGACATTTTTTAAGACTGCCAAAATATCCTAATTGAAGGGAATAGATCCCAATTTTTTTGTGTGCTTTTGTCTCATTTTTTTTGTTTTCATATAAAAACATCAGCAATTTCTAATTTATTGACCAAAACAAATTTTATTTGTACAAAACAAACCACAGTCTGAGGGAAGTGAACGAGGCATACTTCATAAGCAGCTGGTGTTCTAAGAAATAGACTATCAATACTTGTTTGGCAAGTATCACAAAATTCCCTTTTAAACGGTCAGAATTTTACTACAATAGGAAAGATCTTTATTTCATAGCTAAGAAGGGCAGAGAAAACAGACTGGTAACTTGCCTCATGTTGCTCTGTTGTCATTATAGATCCCAGTTTTACTTTGATGTTTTGCTGGATTAGACTCAGTAGGTGAAGTGATCTCATTAACTTACAACTTTTTGTACAATTTTAAAAAAAATCATACCCAGGTGGGTAGATTGCATAAAGTAGAATTAATCATTTCCTACCCAGCAGGCTTGAGGTAGGTGCTCAAGAAACACTTGCTGACCTGAGCAAAATTGTGGCCAGAATTTCCTGTAAGTTAGTTATATAGCCATACTTGTCAGAACAGCTTTGGGAGTTTTCTTCCCTGTTTAATTTAATCTGACTTTGTAATTTGACCAGTATAGAGGAAGAAACTTACTAAGAAAGTCCTGAACAGTCTGCATCTATTTTCATTTTCAGCGTGTGCTTGTTGGTCTCTGTATCTAATGCTGTTGTAGAAAAGAACCAATATATTTGCTTTAAAAGAATCAAAGATTTGGAAAGGTGGGTTTTGGTGTCATGAACTCAGTACATTTTACTTCTCTTCAGCAACACCAGGTCAAGGCTGTGGGTGTTATTTCTTAAATGCTTACAGCATGTAGTCATCTTCCTGTGTTTGATGAAGTCCTGGTAATACTGGTGCTTGGAGACAAGACACATGCAGTAAGGACACTTCTAAGCCAGGGTCTAACTTTTGGCCCTGGGCAGAGCCAGGGGCTTCATTGCTTGTAGGCCTTAAAATGGACAGGTCTTGCTAAAGCTGGGAGCACCAAGAAAGGCCAATTCTTTGGTTTTGTTTGTTTTTTTTTACATGTTCCTAACTCTTTATCAGTCGTGGCAATCAAGCTTTTCATGATGCTGGCACAAAACACCACACTCTTTGCTGTCGATCAGGACTGACTCATAGCTGGCTGTCCACATGGTTTCTGAGGCTGTCAACCTCACAGGAGGAGATTGCCTATCTTCCTCAGAGCTGCTGGTGGATTCGAACTACCAAATAGAGATATGGCCTTTGCATTAGCCCCATAACTTTCTGTGGACTAGGCTGCCAGAGCTCTGCTAGTGTAAGCATTAGTAAACAGATATGCAAATAAAAGATAGTTGTTTTCAGCCAACTTGGACCCATGGTGACTCTGTGTGTCAGAATGGAATTTTTGATAGCTGATTTTCTGTGAAGCAGATCGCCAGGCCTTTCTTCCAGTGTGCTACCTGGTGACTCAAACTTCCAGCCTTTTGTTTAGCAACCAAGCAATGAATCATTTGTACCACGAAGGGAAGCCAGTATAGGCAACAGCCTGGATTCCAGAGTCAGCCTTTATTGGGTTGTTTATTGAGTCAAGAATGTGGGGTGGTCGGCTCCTACACTGCTTAAACGAGGCAGTCTCAGATGAGTGAAAACTTGTGACAAAATATAAAATACCGTGTGTGCCTTTTGACTGTTTCTTTTCTTGTAACTTACCAGATAAACCTCCCTTTGCTCTTATATCTAGTAAAGATAAATGATGGATTTAAATTAGAAATTTGGGAGTGTGTGTGTGTGTGTGTGTGTGTGTGTGTTTGTGTGTGTATTAAAATATATATATAATTGTACCAATAACCATTTTGAAGTATAAAATTCAATGGCATATACTCAGTGTTTTATACCTTTCTTCAAAATCTTTGCTCACTCCAAGGAGAAACGCTGGACCCATTAGCAATCACTGTGTTTCCTTCTATCCCCATCCTTTAATATAATATGCCTTTTGTCTCTATGGATTAGCCTATTCTGGATATAAATGGAATATGTAATGGATAACGGAATCACACAATAGATGACCTTTTGTGTCTCCTATCTAGTAGCATCATTTTTCCAGGTTCATCCTTGCTGTAGAATATCTTGGAAATGCCATTTCTTTTATTACTGAATCATGTTTTTAAATGGATGAACCAAGGAGCTCTGGTGACCTAATGGGCAAGGAGCTGTGCTGTCAACCTAGTGACAGGCAGTTCAAATCTACCAGCCATTATGAGGGAGAAAGATGGGCATTCTCCTTTTTTGCCCTTCATTTACTGCCTCTGCAGACCCACTGGAGATCTGTGAATTGATTATGATTTGATGACGTATAACAACAATGTAGATAAACCACATTTTGTTTATAGAGGTATACTCATCTGTTGATGGGCATTTGAGTTGTTTCTACCTTTTGACTGTTATGAATTATTGGCTGTTGTGAACACACGTGTAAGTTTTTGTGTGAGCGTAAAGTTTGCTTTCTTTTTAGGTGTATATACCTAAGCTGGTAAATGCTTGTTCATCATAATTCTCCCTTTATGTTTTTGAGGAACCAAATTTTTTTTAAATAAAATTTTGTTTTCTTTCCCAAACACAGGAATCTCTTACCCCCCACAAATGTATCCCTTACATCATAGTCCGGGGCCTTGTGCGCATTCGATGTGTTCAGGAAGTGGAGAAGATACTTTATTTCATGACGAGGAAAGGCCTGATCAACACAGGCGTTCTGAACGTCGGCCCTGACCAGCCTCTTCTTCCGAAAGATTACCACAATGTAGGTGACGTACCTTTAGCCCCACACCAGTGTGGGTCAGGTTGAATGCTAGTGTATTACTCCTAATCCTAGTAAAAGTCATACCATTGATGGAAAAGTTACAGAAGTAAGATTTTTTTGTTAGTAGAATACATTTCTCTTGAGACTATCAAGCACCTTTCCCCTCGACTGTAGAAAAAGAAAGATTACTTAAGAAAAGTAACATTATGTTCAGTTGGAAAAAAATAACGAAGGAGCCTTAGTGGTGTGGTGGTTAAGCATTCAGCTGCTGACGGACATGTTGGTGGTTCGAGCCCACCTGCCAGTCTATAGGAGATGTCTGAAGTCTGTTCCCCTAAAGACTTATAGCCTTGGAAACTCTAGGAGACAATTGTCTTATGCCCTGCAGGATTGCTGTGGTGGTGTAGTCAGTAGGACGTTATGCTGCTAAACCAGTGTCTGGCCTGTGATCATTCGAGTCCCAACAGCAGCACCATGGAAGGAAAACAGGCAGTCTTCTCCCAAAGGATTTATAACCTCAGAAACCTGCTGGAGAGTCAGCTGTGAGCTGGTTCCAAGTCCAACAGAGTCGAGGGCCATTGTGAGTTAGAATCAGTTTGTTGGTAGTGGAATTAAAAATAGAGGTGATCTCACATTAGTGGCACTTAGTACCCTTCAGAAAAATGAAAACAAAAACAAAGTTCTCATTGCTCTGATTGGATTTTTTTTCCCCCCTTTTTTAAAAAAATGCAAGAAATCGGTCATTGTTGTCGGAGCTGGTCCATCAGGAATAGCAGGTGCGAGGCAGTTGCGTAACTTTGGAATTAAGGTAAGCTTTGGGGACAGATGAGCAGAAGCAGGGGACTAGCCATTCTTTCTGTCTGGGTTTACTAAGGCTTTGAAGCCACTTATTTAGGAGAAAATGCTGATTATGTAATAGCTTTATAGTTGGACTAAAAAAAGATACACAATTTGAAACTGACAGAATATAAGAAAGATGAAAGTAAACATTCCTGTAGCATTGTTATTGACGCAGCTAGGAAGATTAAGTGTTGCTGTTTTGGTCACACATAGTGTGACCCTTGTGTGCCAGAACTGTAACCCCCACAGGGTTTTCAGAGGCTGAGTTTTTGGCAGTGGATTGGTCACCAGGCCTTTCTTCTGAGGCATCTTGGGGTGGACTGAAACATCCCTGCTGACTAACAGTCAAATAGGTAACTCTACTACCCAGGAATATTAACACTATTGAGGAAAAAAATAGGGGAAACATTTTCTTTTTTTCTACAGTAATTTGAAATGACAAATCACAGCACAAAGAAGTTACCATGTCATATATAGTTTTCTGAAACACTGATTAAATTTTCTTATGCAAAGCAGAGTCACCTCCCTCTTCCCCCTTTTATGTGGAAAATAAAAATCTTTTCTTTCGGAAAGCAAGATTACATGAGCCAAAGGATTGCTTAAGGAAGGATGATAATGACTTTCAAAATACTGCACATTTTTAAGTTCGTCTACTTCTCTTTTTTGGTACTTATTGATTTAATTTAGTGTGTTATCTGATTCTAGTTGCTCAAATCAGCCAAAATAGAGACTGTAACCAGAAAATTGTTAACTAATAATCATTAAAATTTTTTAACTTAACCATCCCAGTATTTCTGTGACTTCCTAGGTCTGAAACATCCTCCTATTTTATAACTTATCTTGACAGCACCTTGGTTTTCAGATAGAACTTTGTAAATTATTTTCCAGAGCTTAGTTTTAGGTTTATGGTAGTAAAAAATAAATCACACTGATTAAGGGCATTTCTGCAGTGTTGATTGTCAGTGCTGTCAATAAATTGTGCTCCTACATAGAATGTGATATTTACAGCAGTGAGGAAAATTGAGTGGCTCCTGAGGCTGCTTCTGTACAACCAAACACCTTTTGAGATTTGGTTCCTTGGTGTGGAGGTTTGGGATGACTGTCACAAATGATACTGGTTTAGACCTTGACACTGGTCTATAATTTACCTGGAGCAACAGAGGGAAAAAAGTGAAGAATAGGAGGAAAACATGGAATGTATGGCTGATTGCTTCCTTGAACAACGGTCTGCTTTGCTATGGGAGTAGAATCTGATGACACTTAGCTACCATTACTGAACAAAAGGGGAAAAATAGGCAGAACAGAATTTCAGGTTTTTGTGGACTCTTGACTTTCTGGAGCCATGGAGGCTGGAGGAACTCCTTACCCAATTGCCTTAAGGGAATCTATAAATCCTAAACCAAAATTACTCCTCAAGAGTAAAGATGACATCTTAAAGACTATATCTGACCCAAGCCATGGTATTTTCATTCATTTCATAGATGAGTTAAAGTTGGACAGTAAATAAGGAAGACAAGTGTTTTGTGGTCTTGGTGAACAATATGAACTGCCAAAAGAACAAACAAAACTGTCCTGGAATAAATACAGCCTAGGAAATAGCAAAAAATAAGGCCCCAGGAATAGATGGTATACCGATTGACGTATTTCAGATAACAGATGTTGCCCTGGATGTGCTCACCAAGTTGTGCCAAGAAAGCTGGAGAACAACCACTTGGCCAACTGACTGGAAGAGATCTATATTTGTTCCCATTCCAAAGAAAGGTGACCCAACTGAGTGTGGAAACTACAGAACAGTGTCATTGATTTCACATGCAAGCAAGATTCTACTGAAGATTATCCAAAAACGATTAGAACAGCACATCAGCAGAGAACTGCCGGAAGTCCAGGCTTGGTTTAGAAGGGGTCATGGTACTAGGGATATTGTTGCTGAAGTTAGATGGATCTTGGCTGAAAGCAGAGAATACCAGAAGAATGTCTATCTGTGTTTCATTGATTATGCAAAGGCATTTGACTGTGTGGATCATAACAAACTGTGGCTGACTCTGAGAAGAATGGGAATCCCAGAACATTTAATTGTGCTAATGCGAAACCTATACTTGGACCAAGAGGCAGTAGTCTGGAACAGAGCAGGGTAACACTGCGTGGTTCAAAATTGGGAAGGGTGTACGCCAGGGATACCTCCTGTCTCCATACCTTTTCAACATGTATGCAGAGCAGATTATCCGAGAGGCTGGGCTCTATGAGGAGAATTGTGGCATCAGGATTGGTGGAAGGTCTATTAACAATCTGTGTTATGCAGATGGCACAACCGTGCTTGCTGAAACTGAGGAAGACCTCATGCACTTGCTGCGAAGGGTCAAGGACTGCAGCCTTCAGTATGAACTGAGGCTCAATGTCAAGAAGACAAAGATTCTCACCACTGGACCAGTTGGCAGCGTCAGGATGGATGACGAAGAGATTGAGAGTGTTCACAGCTTCAGTTTGCTCGACTCCACAGTCAACACTCTTGGCACCAGCAGTCAGGAAATCAAAAAGCGTATCGCGATGGGAAAGTCTGCTGTTAGGGACCTCTCTAAAGTACTCAGGAGCAACAGTGTCTCTCTGGAGACTAAGGTGCTCCCGATACAGGCCATGGTATTTGCAATCGCTTGTTATGCATCAGAGAGTTGGACAATGACTAGGGAGGACAGAAGGAGAGTGGATGTTTTTGAGCTGTGGTGCTGGAGAAGGGTACTGAATGTACCATGGACTGCCAGGATAACTAACAGATTCATCTTGGAGAGGATTAAACCAAGCTACTCCTTGGAGGCAAGGATTCTGGGGCTTCGTCTGACATACTTTGGACATGTTGCCAGGAGGGACGGGTCCTTGGAGAGGGACATCATGCTTGGGAGGGTGGAGGGACAGCGCAGGAGGGGAAGACCCTCTATGAGATGGATTGATTCGGTGACTGGGGTAATCAGGATAGAGCAGGGTTTAGGGCTGTTGTGCATAGGGTCGCTGTGAGTCGCAAATGACTCGACGGCACATAACAACAACAACAAATGTTTCTGGAAGCAGAGATGGTGAGACTTTCTCTCACATACTTAGGACACATTTTCAGGAGGATGCAGTCCCTATAGAAAGGCAACATGCTTAAAAAAAAAGGCTCAGTGAATGAGAGGAAGGCCCTCAATGAGATGAATTGTCACAGTGACTGCAAAAATGGACTTAACGAACAGTGAAGATTGTGAGCATGGCACTGAATCGGGAGGGGTTTTGTTCTGTTTTATATAGAGTTGTTATGAATTACAGTCACTCCCATGGCTCCTAACAACATTTAAGGGAAAATCTCAGTGTACTTTTTATATGCTAGTTGATAGAAACTTTTTCTTAATTGATTTGAGAGGAAAGGGTGTACTTTCTTCAGCACACCACTACTTAATTACTCATTCTTGGAATATAGATCATTTTGGGGTCCTTCATCTTCTATTCCCATAGCCCTTGTAAAGTCTTTTCTGTAGTAATATGAAAAATAAATCTAATATGGAGCTTGTTTAGAAGTTTCTTTCTTTGTTTTTATAGTACAGAGAGTCTCCAGCTTAACATAATTGAGTTATGATGAATGCATTTAGGACTGTGGGGGTTTTTTTTTTGGTTTGGTTTTGGTGTATTTACAGACTTCACATATTGCATCACATTCTTTTCTGATAAGATAAATCTCAGATAATCACTGAAGTCAGAACTCTTATGGCAGTTGCTGGAATATGGGAATCTTATCTGTATTTCACTATGGTTATGTGCTATCAGAACTGACCCATAGCTGCTCAGCAGTGGCTATTCTGAGGCAATAAATTGCATTGAATCTTTATTTTCTTGACATTGGGATGCAGTCCTTACCAAAGGCTACATTCCTGATCTTTTGCAAGTGCTTCAAGTCCTCCTCACTTCCAGCAAGCAAGGTCAAAAAAATGTCGAGAAAACAAAGATTCTTACCACTTGACTGATAGGTAACATCATGATGGAAGGAGAAGAGATTGAAACTGTCAATAACTTCCTCTTGCTTGGATCTACGGTGGACACCCTTAGTACCAGCAGTCAGGAAATAAGGAGACACATTGTACTGGGAAAATCTGCAGTTACAGGGACCTCTCCAAAGTATTGAGGAGTAGTGATGTCACTTTGAGTACTAAAGTGTGTCTGATTTAGGCCATAGTGTTTCTGATTTCTTGCTGTGCATCTGAGAGCTGGATAGTAAATAAGGATTACAGAAGAATTGATGCCTTTGAACTCTGTTGTTGGAGAAGAGCACTGAACACCCCATGGATTGCCAAAAGAACAGACATAAATGTCTTGGAGAGAGTGCCGCTGGGGTGCTGTTTGGAGGGAAGAATTACGAGTTTTTGCCTCACATACTTGGGATATGTTGGTAGAAGAGGCTGTTCCTTGGAGAAGGACCTGATGCTAGAAAGGGTGGAGGATTAGCAAAGAAGAAGACCTTTGACAGGTAGATTGATGCAGTGACTGCCTCAGTGGGCGCTTCTGTGTCAAGAAGTGTGAGGATGGCACAAGATGGAATAGGGTTCAGATCTTTATAGGGTCACTATGAGTCTTCCTCAACTCTACAGCATCTGACAACAACAGCAGTAACAATAGTAACAGATTAAATTAAAGGCGATTACCCATCTTTCACCAATTGAGAGCCTTGTAGATTTGAACCATGTGCTTTTTGCTTGGCACTGCCACTCCTTACCCCTGATTAGACAACCACAGCTTAAAAGTCCTAAAGAGCAGTCATATCAGTTAAAAACTTAAGCCATCGTCTTTGCAGTCACCTGAACAGTTACCAGTGCATCTGAAAGCTGGACCATGAATAAGGATGACAGGAGAAGAATTAATTGATCCTGTTGAGTGGTGGTGGTAGAGAAAAGTGACAAAGATCCCATGAACTGCCAAAAGAACAAACAGGTATTTTTCGGAGAAAGTGAAATCAGGGTGCTTCTTGAAGGCAAAGATGGTAAAACTTCATCTCACAATACTTTGGACATGTTGCTAGGAGCAGCTATTCCTTGGAAAGGTGGAGGGTCAGCGAAAGAGGAGAAGACCTCCAATGAGATGGATTGCCACAATGCAAGGGGCTCAAGTGTGTCAGATCATGAGGTTGGCGCATTATAGAACAGGGTGCAGATCTGTTCAGAATGTCACTGAAATTTACTTTACCTGCAGGCATGTAACAACAACAATCTGTGTTACACTTGATGTGATTGTTTTATCTTATTTAGATTTCTAATTACCTGTCTTTTAGGTGACTGTCCTGGAAGCCAAAGACAGAATTGGTGGCCGAGTATGGGATGATAAATCTTTTAATGGTATAGCTGTTGGGAAAGGAGCCCAGATCGTCAATGGCTGCATTAACAACCCAATATCACTAATGTGTGAGCAAGTGGGTTTCTTAAGAATTGTTTTATAGATAAGGAAGAGCACATGATCTCAATTTGCTTGTGTGTATTGTTAATATGCTACTGAAGCAGATAATATAAAATGATGCCTAAGGGAGTTCTTGCCCCATTTGTCCTCTCAGAAAATTAAATAAGAACAAATACTGTTCTCTTCTGAGGAGGTGGAAGTAGTTCCAAGATAGTTCCCAAGGTCTTAAATGTTATTTATGTTATTTGCAGAACTCTTGATTAGTTCCTGGTTTTAGTATTTCCAGATTGAGCAGATGAAAATACAGGATGCCCAGTTAAATTTGAATTTCTGATTAAGCAACAATTGGTTTTTGGTTGTTGTTTTTTTAAAGGATAAGTTTGTGCCAAGTATCACATAGAACATTTTCATGTTTTATTTGGGACAGACTTGTCTAGGCAGTCTGCTGTTGGGAACATCTGACTTTAATACCTCCTACTTGTCCTTTAATGTTATATAAGTTTAAAACAGTGGACCTTAACTCCACTGGAAACACATTTTTCATTACAGTCACCTTCACTTGTGTTTAAACTTTTGAGAAGTCTTCAAGCCTTTGCACTATAAAGTAAGGCTAAGGACCATAAACACCTGCCCTGACTTACCTACAGGTTCTTAAAGGTTCAATTAGAAACAGACCTTGTGTATAGCCTGGGAACTTCCTCCACTCAGTGTTTATTCATTGTTCATCAGAAGTCCACATGGAACCGGGCATCCTGTCTTCTACCTGCCAACCCTACAGTTTCTTTGACAACCTGGTAGGCCCAGAGTTTTTTCTAAGATATTTAATTTACAGTACATTTAGTGTCAATCTCTGCTTTGAATGTTTGTGTGCCTGTGTTCATACATTATAGAGGTCTGTGGAGGAGATAAAATTTTGTTGCAGTGAAAAGGCGGTGCATAGCTATGATGTCTGAAACCTTAACCAGTAATGGCTGAACAGCTCCTAGAGTGCATGGCATAGACGCTGTTGCTGTCACCCTTATATCCTCACAAAACAACCTCATAGCTTCCATGCTGTTTTTGCACTGCCTTGACTTTATTTCTGTTCACCATGAAGCAAACCTAGCTTTATTTTTGGGAGATACTAGGTGATTCTCTCCACGAGGGCTCTGTCTGATTTCAGCTTAGAACCTGTAAATATTTTTTCCAGTGAAAATTTTCACCTTTTCATTCTTATTATTTTTGAAGCTTGGCATCAGCATGTATAAATTTGGAGAAAGATGTGACTTAATTCAGGAAGGTGGAAGAATAACTGACCCCACTCTTGACAAGCGCATGGATTTTCATTTTAATGCTCTCTTGGATGTTGTCTCTGAGTGGAGGAAGGATAAGACACAGCTCCAAGATGTCCCTTTAGGAGGTATGGGGAGAATGGTGTTCTCATTGTGCCATCACAGTCTCTTACTTGAGCTCGATTATCAGCATCGTTCATCCACGAGACTGGATGATGCAGTAGGTGTAGTCCCCACAAGCATTCCTTTTGGGTTGATGAATTCTCCACACTGTTTCTGAGTTACAGGTAGAAGGGAGCTCAGAACTCTCGTGGGGTCTCAGATACTTGTGTATGTATGCATCTGTCAGCCTTTTTTTAACACTCGCTGATGTTATAAAAACTAAATGTTTGATTTGAAGTTTCTCGGAGGAGCTTACTCTTAGGCAAATGTGGTAAGCAGTAAGCTCTACATGAATAAATAACTGGTTGCTTCCCAGTCATTTCTGAACCATGGCCATCACGTATATTCAGAGTGAAACTGCTTTCCATGGGTTTTCATTGCCAGACCTTCTTTGGCATCTCTGGGTGGGCCTGATGCACCGGCCTTTAGATTGTTGCTGTGCTGTACCGTTAAGTTGGAAACAATTCATATATGACCCTCTAGCTGTTTTTCAGAGACAGCAATCAACCAGGAATTGATTCCCCATCTTTCTTCTAAGGAGCAGTTAGTGGATTTGAACCACCTGCCTTTGGCTTGGCAGTGCAGCTCCTTATCCCTAGGCCACTCGAGCTTCCTAGGCTTTTGGCTAGTAGTCAAGAACTAAACCATTTACCCAGGTAAGCTTGTGAATAGTCGCCCATTATTTTTGCTAGGCCGGGGGATCTGTATGCTCAGATTTTTTTCTCTTTTTCTTTTCTTAGGGCACCAAGTTAATGTTTTCTTTTTGCCTCCCACCCTTCGCTGAGCATATTTTGCTGAAGAATATTATATTATAATCTGTGGGTATATTATAGTCTGTGGGTACTAATTTTCAGTCTTTAGGTTTGGGCCTTAAACAGGGTATACTTAAAACTTGTTAGAAACTTGCTTTTTTTCCTATGAGAATATGAGACAGCTCAGATTTTACCGTGATTATGTAAATTGATACTTAGTTTATAATCTCATGACCTGAATTTGTAGTTCTTAAAGGCTTGTTGGGTACCTTAAAATGTCAGCACTTGGGACTGAATTTGCAAGATATTAATTTGTATTAACTGTATTTTTATTTCTCTAAGGATTTTCTTGGTTTCTTCGTGCTGCTGTAACAGAAATACCCCTTGTAAATTATTTGGATGAACAAGATTGAATTTTCTTAGAGTGTCAGAGGCTAGAAAGCCAAGTTTTGGGTGATGGTTCTAGGAGAAAGTGTTCTCTGTTGGTGGGGAATACTTTTGGATATTTCTTAGCTCTCCAAGTGTCATCTGTCCTTCCCCATTTCTGCTTGCTTGCTTCTCTGGCTCATCTGCTCCTTGTATATATCATGTGATTGGTTCAAGATGCACTTTGTTGATAAAGCCTCAAGATTCTCTTCCCGGTGGGAGTTACAGTGACACATATATGCAGAAATTGAGATTTTAATGCATATCTTTCAGGGGCACAGTTCAGTCCATAACATGTTCTCAGTTCATAATGACAACAGCTTCTCATTCTGATTCAAGAGAAACCTAGTAACAGATACTGTCTCTCTCTCTCCCTTTCTCCTTCTCCCTCCTCCTCCTCTTCCTCTCCTCCTTCCCCTCCCAGTCTACCCCCCTTTCTTTCTGTCTGTCTCTTTGTCTCTGCTCTCCCTGCCCTGAAAACCTCAGCCTCTGCGTCTCGGAGGTCTGACCCACACTCATGTCACCTGTACTCAGTGTTGATTACTGAACAGTCAGAGAAGGTTTTTAGGAATTTACTTGTTGGTGGAAACCTCATAATCTATTGTGTTAGCTTTGTAGACCAGGTTCTGATGAGGTTGTGAAAATTGTTCCTGGGCTGACTCGCGGAACACCCTCAGGAGTTGAACATTTTACATGTGTGCTGACTTCTTTACTCTCCTTTCAGGGTCACAAAAAATACCAATGAAATAGTTTTTTGTCTCCGCCTCACATTTAAAAAAAAAAAAGGGATTCCGGGGGAAGTCACCAATACTTACTATAAGAGTAGTTGTTTCCTCTAACTAATGTTCTTTTTAATAACTTTCTTGGTGCTTTTCTTTATAGTTCTTTATAGTTTGTCAGTAGCGTGACTGACTGCGGTCTCATCTTGTTGTTACATAGCTGAGAAAACCAAAATCCAAGTATCAAGGGACTGAAAAGGAGTCCTGGTGGTGTGGTGGTTAAGACGTTGGCTGCTAAGCAAAAGATTGGTGCCTTAAACCCATCACTCACTCCAAGGGAGAAAGAAAGAAAGAAAGCCTGCTTCCATAAAAGTGACAGCTTTGGAAACATATAGGGCCATTCTACTCTGTATTACAGGGTCTCTGAATTAGAATTGGCTCGACAACATTTCATTTTTAAGGACTAGAGGTAAATCAGTGGAGGGGAGAGGTGACAATCTGCTTCGGTATATTTATACATGTGCTCCAGACTTTCTGTGAGTCAAAATTGGCTCTGGGACCACAGGTATAAAGGTAATTCACAAAACATGTGTAGGAAAATCTTTAAATATTTATGTACGAAGCCACAAGAAGGACTGTCTCAGTCTGTGTTCACTTCATTTTATCTGTTATTCTAGACAACCTTGGTTCTTTCCCCCTTCCCAAAACATACCAAAAAATAGAAGAGTACACATGAGGAGGAGGGAGTTGAGTGGGATGGGATTGCTATGGAAAGGCACCGAAGTAATGATAATAAGAAACAATCCAGTGATAATCAGGACACAGGTCCAACCCATATCCAGAGGTTCCCTTGGACAGCTCTGTAATAATAGAGTGTAAGAGTTGAAAGTTTTAATGAGAGCATTAAGTTGTCAAAAAAGTTAAATGATACTTGAGTTTGGTCTAGCAAGCATTGAATTCTTCATAGAAGCTTTTGTCTGTGTTGGATGATTGTTGTCACTAATGGTTGTCACCACTGGGAAAGTTACTGAGAAGTAACCTGTATATCACTGGAAGTAGAATAGTCAGCCTGGAAGCTGGAACTAATAAACAAAAAACCACTGAAGAATCCAAGACAGTAATTGGAATGTTATCCCAAGGCTCATGGGTATGTGTGTAAAGAGAGCTTCAGGTGAAAGGGCTAAGTCAGTGCCGGGATTATAACGAGACATGATTGCTGAGTCTTGCAGGACCCAGGTGATGTTGGATTGTAAAGGAGGGTTGTGGTTGAGGGAGGAGGGCATTTAGTTAGGGAGTGTGGTTGTAATTACTAATTGTGGAGCTGGTGTTTACCACGACAGGACTGAGCAGCAGTACAGCAGAGCTTAGAAGAGAGCAGGTATAGATACTGAATGAAGGGTGACCCAGCCTTATCAGGCTGTTGTTTGGAAAATTGATTGCTGGTTGCCCGGTGTTAGTGGTGGGCACTATCGAGTGCGTTGGGATTTTTAGCAATCCCATGTACAGGGTAGAACTGTTGCATGATAATAATCTTTACAGAAATGGATTAGAGAGGCCTTCTCCTCTTGCTGGAACCACTGGATGTGTTTAAACCAGCAGCCAGGTGCTTAACCATTGCACCACTAATGCTTCTTACATAGACAACACCCACTGCTCTCAGGTTGGTTTCTGACCATAGTGTGACCTTCCATCTGGTTTCTGAAGCGCGACATCCTTATGGGGGGAGATTGACATCTCTCTCCCTACGTGGCTGTTGGATTCAAGCTACTGACCTTTTGGTTAGTAATAGGGAAACTAAAGAAATAAGGAACTCAATAGGGAACTATTACTTAAGGGAACTAATAATTAAAGATGTTGAGGCAGGGAGTTGAAGTGGTGAGAGTCTAAATTGGAATATTCTTGTTGGAGATGAATAACAATAGAGTATTCTACTCGTTGCCATTGAGTTGGAACACATTCACAGCCGACCCGCTAGTGTGTATTCAAAGGCTGTATACTGCATAGGAGGCGATTGCCCATCTTTTTCCCATGGAGCACATGGTGGATTCACACTGCTGGGGAGGCACCATTTTTGCTTTAGCAGCGCAGCTCCCTACAGGGTGCTCTGTGGAAGCAAGGATGGTCAGGCTAGGTCTCACATACTTTGAACAAGTTGTCAGTCCTTGGAAAAATGCATCATGCTTAGAAAATGAGAAGGAGTCAGTGAAAGACAAGATCCTCAGAAAGGTGGATTGACACAATGAATGCAGCATGGCAAATTGTGGGGAGCAGCAGAGGGCAAGATTTTCGTTTGTTGCTAGGGAGGACCCTCTGTGTCAGAGTCAGCTCAACAGCACCTAACAGCAACTTAGTTGGGGTGAGATGTTTAACATAGTAGCTAGTCGTGGACTTGATTTTAAGGTGATGGTGATAGCACTGACCAGTGGCAGAATTCCCCTCTCTCAGGGTGTGTGTGCCTTTATCTTGAGCAAAAGAAGAAATTGTTTCTTCCTGAATCAGAAATGAAACATTCCAGCTCTGTTTCCTGAGAGAAGTCAGCCTTATCATGATGCCCTTCCCCACCCCAGAGTTCACTTGAGGAAGGACTTGGGGATTTTGAGGGTTTTGTGGGGTAAAAGAGATGAAAGCAGTGGTGAAGGAATTGGAGAATCATATTAAAGCCACTTCTTTTTTTTCTGTTCTGACACATTTATATTACAGAAAAGATGGAAGAGATCTACAAAGGTTTCATTAAGGAATCTGGTATCCATTTCAGTGAGCTGGAGGAACAAGTACTTCATTTCCACCTCAGTAACCTGGAATACGCGTGTGGCAGCAACCTCTACCAGGTGCGCTTGGGTCTGGGCAACACGAGCGTTGACAATGTTGGGTTTTTGTATATGTGTATTTATTTATCTATAATATGGTCTTCGCAATCACTTGTTATGCATCAGAGAGTTGGACAATGACCAGGGAGGATAGAAGGAGAATTGATGCCTTTGAGCTGTGGTGCTGGAGAAGAGTATTGAGAATACCATGGACTGCTACGAAAACAAACAGATTTGTCCTCGAAAGGGTTAGACCGGGTGGCTCCTTGGAGGCAAAGATTCTGAGGCTCCGTCTAACATACTTTGGACATGTTGTGAGGCGGGACCGGTCCCTGGAGAGGGACATCATGCTTGGGAGGGTGGAGGGACAGCACAGGAGAGGAAGGCCCTCTATGAGGTGGATTGATTCAGTGACTGGGATAATTGGAATGGGAGTGTCAGAGACAGTGCGATTGGCACAGGACAGAGCGGAGTTTAGGGCTGTTGTACATAGGGTCGCTATGAGTCGCAAGCGACTCGAGGGCACATAACAACAACAACAACATAAAAAAAGTGGAGTTAAGTCTGCTTTGGTTAAGCAGGAAACAATGATCTTGCAGCTTAACAGTTTGGAAAACAGAACTGACAGCATATTAACCCAACAGGGGTTTATTGTTTTTTAAAGAAATGGAAGCTTTTCTTCCAGTCTGGCCTGTGAGGAAGTTCTATATGTAAACCTGAACAAAAGAGGACTGTTGGGCTGAACTGGGAAGGAACTTTCTGCCTCCCCCGGCCTCCTTCACTTGTTTGCCACTCAGACCCTGAGGGCGTCCTTAGAACCTTGGAGTCCTTTTTAAAAAAAAAACCTAAAAATACAGCACCTGTGCAATTCTGGTTGGAGATTTTTGCTAAAATAAATGTAAGAGGGCTAAAATCTCACCTAACTTCTTATGACCTAAATATTACAGCCTTAGATTTTAGGTAGAGCCTCCTCCTCTGTGGATGACTTGTGATTTTGTTAGTCCTCTTTGGGACCTTTCCTTTTCTCTTCTACTCTTCACTCTGGTTAGAATAACGCAGTTTTTCATGAGTTGTGCCATGTTTCAATCTCTTAGTACATTTCCATGTTGCAGACATAAAATTGGCATGTTATATGTATCTTGTTATATGCCATTTAGTTGGAACTGCCTCGTGTCTGATCCTCTGAGGTTTGTCAGAGGCTGTAAATCACTTGCTATGTGTCAGAAAGCTGGACAATGACAAGGGATGATAAGGACAGTTGATGTCTTTGAGCTATGGTGCTGGAGAATACCATGGACAGCTAAGAGAACAAACAGGTTCATCCTGAAGAGGGTGAAACCAGGCTGCTCCTTGGAGGCAAGGATTCTGAAGTTTCATCTGACGTACTTTGGACATGTAAGGAGGGACCAGTCCTTGGAGAGGGACATCATACTTGGGAAGGTGGAGGGACAGTGCAGGAGAGGAAGACCCATGATGAGATGGATTGATTCAGTGATGGGGTAATAGGAGAGAATGTGTCGGGGGCAATAAAGATGTGCCCAGTATAGACCAAGGTTTAAAGCTGTTGTACATAGGGTCGCTATGAGTCGCAGGCAACTTGATGGCACATAACAACAACAGCAACAAAAATCACACGAGAGGAGATTGACCATCTTTCCCTGTCAGAGTAGCCAGTACTGCCTTGGGTTAGCTGTGCAACTCTTTACCCACTAGACCGTCAGATCTCCCGTATTTATGTATGGGATTCATCAAATCCAGTTCTACTATCATGGAATTCCAACTTGCCACTTATTGGCATATAAAATTAACTTGTCAAAACATGTACAGGCAGTCTCACAGAGTTTCATTCCTAAATCTTTTAAGTCTAATTTTTACATAAATTGATACAATTAAACATGTATAGGCACATGGTTCTAATCTCCTAGCAGCTCCATGAGAGAAAGACATGCAGTGCCCTCCCTTGTGATTATCTGCTTCTGAAAACCTGCTGGAGGGTCAGCTATGAGTCAGTAATCACTTGGCAGCACACAACAACAACATAAATATGATTTGTGTATAAAAATGGTTAGTCAAATGTTAATACATAATGTGTTTTCCTATAAACATTAAACACTTCCAGATAACCTGAAACATCTTTAACAAAATGATACAGCTTTGATTCACATCTCAAAGTAGTACCTGTTTGTTATTATAAACCTTTGTGTCTACCTCAGGTTTTAACTTTTTTTAAATTATTGTTGTTATTAATTTCA